CGTTTTCTCCTGAAGGCACAACATGGCCTCCTTAGCTTAGGACAGTAGGCAGCACTTCAGCACTATGCTTGGGGCCATTTTAACAGCGAAATCATCCACAAAAAGTGCAAAAACAGGAAAAACGTGGCACTGACTGGATTACAAAATATACATGTGGTTACAGTCTGCGTGCGGAACAAAACGGCCCATGCCGTGGCCTTGTTCCACCTCAGTGGGGCCTGTGCATTGGGTCGCTCAAAACTTCTGCCACTCAGCAGGTTGTTGGGGAAGCATAATTTAACCAAAGTCTCCTGCTAACCTGAACGCCACAACATTAGAGAACAAGGAAAGCAGTCTTATTGTTGAATAAGCATTAAACCAGACTGTGAAACACATCACAGACAATCCGCTATAGACACTGCGAAGACTGTGGAATTTTTATCCTTTTATATAGTCTAGTGGAGCTCTGGTGATGCAGTGATTCAACACTCAGCTGTTAATTGAAAGATTGGTGGTTTGCGCCCACCAACCACTCCATGGGAGAAAAAGACCTGGCAGTCTGCTTTCACAAAGATGACACCTTGGAGACCCAGTGGGGCAGTTCCACTCTGTCCTCTAGGGGCGCTGTGGGTCAGATTGGACTCCACGGCAGTGGGTGTGGTTTGGGCTTTGCTTCTGTGAAGACTGACAGCCTTGGAGACCCTGTGGGCAGTTCCACTCTGTCCTCTAGGGACGCTGTGGGTCAGAATGGACTCCACGGCAGTGGGTGTGGTTTGGGCTTTGCTTCTGTGAAGACTGACAGCATTGGAGACCCTGTGGGCAGTTCCACTCTGTCCTCTAGGGGCGCTGTGAGTCAGAATGGACTCCACAGCTGTAGAGTTGGTTTGGGGTTTATATAACCAAGCAGCTACCACCTAGTTCATGCCTCCATAGCTCCCTACACATCATCGCCTTCTTCTTTCTGTTCTTGAGATAAGTGATAACTAGTCCCCAAGTAAGAGGACTTGACAGAACCGTTTGTCACTCAGAGTTCATCTTGAAGTCACTTGGTAGTTGGGGTGACCACCTGTGTTTACTGTTTACCTTTCTCCAAAGAAAAAATAATGTCTCCTTTATGATGAGAGGAGCTCTGGTAGCATAGTATCTAAGGCATTTGACTGCTAACCAGAAGGCTGGCGGTTCAAACCCACCAGCCCCTCCTCGGAAGGAAGGCTGGGCAATTTACTTCCGTAGAGATACTGCCTTAGAAACCCAAGGAGGGGTCGCTATGAGTCGGGTCCGACTAGATAGCGGTGAGTTTGGTTTGGTTTGATTTTTATGATGGGGGGAGATTTGTGATCTGGAGCCCAGTGCCAGGTTAACCCCCTGTTGTCCCAGGAAACAGATAAGGGCCCTGCCTTCCTGGACTGACTAGCCTCCAGGCCCAGGAGGGACATCCTTGGGATGTCAAGTGGCCAGAGGCTTTTCCAGCTGAGAAAGCTTGGCACTGTTTCTCAAGGAAAGGGGGGAGGTCTCTTCCCCCCTTTCTTCCCCAACAGAAAGAATTAAGCCCCACCCCCTCTCCTCTGATTTGTGTTTGCCCTTGGAACCTGCCCACGAGTGACTGGAGTGACACCGTGAGTGCCAGTGTTGGGTTACCGGGAAACCCCAGCGAGCGGACCAACACGAGACCTGCGAACAGGGAGGATCGTGTGCCAGGAGGGTTGTTGGTGGCAGAGCCCCCGACCTGCCTTCCTGTGAAAGCCCGAGAAGTCCTGAGGGTCTGGCCTCCCGGCTCCCTGCTGTCCATGAGGGGCCCTTCACTGCTTCGCTGGGACAGTCGAGGGTCTGCACTGAGTCCAGGTGGAACGGTTAGCATCCCTGTGTTCTTTGTAACCCACCTGGCGGAGCGGGGACTATGCTCTGCGGTTAGGCCTATCTGCCACCTTCCACTCCAGGGGAATGGACTGAAGCCGGTTCAGTGACATCACAGGGGGTTAATCATAACCTGGGCTCGTGGGCAGAAGCTCCCATGACCAATATCGCTTTTCCACGGCAGGCACTTTAAACAGATGTTGTTTCCCTCATTAAGTGTTTATGTTCTCAAAGCCACACATCTGCTGTCTCAGAACCACTGGTGCCCGGTTCTGGTGCTACAGGAAAACACCTGTGTGCTACGCAGCCTCCTGACAAAATGAGTAAAGATCTGACCACTGGCCATAGAACCTAAAGTCCCCGAGGCCAGCACATGCTTCTTCCGTGGGCTCAGCAGCATGTTCACGCCCTTCCTGAGCTCCTGAGGCCTTAGCTTCCGTTCAGTTACTTTTTTCTTCTTTTTTCCAAAAAACCCAAACCCGCTGCCATCGAGTCGATTCCAACTCACAGAGACCCCCCCACTGGGTTTCTGAGGTGATAAATCTTTGTGGAAGTGGGTTGCCCCATTTTCCTTCCATAGAGTGGCTGGCGGGTTTGAACCACCAGCCCTCTGGTTAGGGGTCAAATGCCTTAGGCACTATGCCACCAGGGCTGAACTAAGTAAGACAAAGCTTATGTGTGTCCTTTAATTGGTGGGTCTCTGGGAGCAGCTCTAGGTTTACAGAAAAATCGTGCAGAAGGCACTGAGGGTCCCGTATGGCCCTCCCCCCTCCACGCCGCTTCTCCTGTTGTTAACACCTTGCATCCGCCGCCACAGGCCTCTGGGTTTTGGTTTCCACACTAATGGACACCAGGCAGGAACCTTCCGGGTCACTGGCAGGGGCTGGGCAGTCACTCTGTGGGTTGAGAGTCCGAGGGATCACAGAGCTGGACTGGGATGCAGATGTGGTCAGAAGACGCCAGCCTGGGTGCTTGAGCAGTCTGTGGGGTCCACGTGCTGACGCCCCCATCCCTTGCAGCAGGAGACCCTGCAAACTCCAAAAGCACGTGGCGCAAGGGAAAGGGAAGGGGGCAAGGTTGCTCCCATGGGGCAGAAGGAGAGCAGAGGCGAGGCTTCGGTCTAGACAGAGCTCCTCTGCAGCGAGGTGTGCAGCCTCCGGGCCAGAGCTCCGAAGAGCCGCCGGGGTGAAGTCCTGACGACTTCAGGGTTTATCCTACCAGCGGCTGCAGAGGCCGGCACGGCCTCTACATGGTTCAGGCTGCTTCTCTGGGCTGTTTTCAAAGCCATTGAATAAAGGTTTGAATTTGGCATCAGCTGGCTGTGGGGCCAGCCGGCATCAGCCTGCTATGAAGATGTGGACCCAGAGCCCACATGGAGGGCCGTCTTTGGCTCACTGATATGCCACGTGTGGGCTTTGTATGGGGGGGCTGGGCTGCTGCCGGGCAGGGCTCACCTCAGGCAGCCCTGGAGCTGCCCCTGGGGCCTGGCTCGGCCCTGCTGACCGCCCTCTGTCTTTGAGGCCAGATTTGGAGCACTTTCTTCCACGGGCGCTACCTGATCCTGCTCATGGGTATCTTCTCTGTGTACACCGGACTCATTTACAACGACTGCTTCTCCAAGTCTCTCAACATCTTTGGGTCTTCATGGAGTGTCCGGCCCATGTTCAGGAACGGCACGTGGAAGTAAGTTTACAGACTGGGCGCTCCTCATGGGCTGTCCACGTGGCCTCCGGGAGGGTCTTCAGGGCCAGGGGAGTCTGTACCTGGCAGGGCTTAGAGTGGCGTCCACGTGTCCCACCCACGGAGGGCAAGGCCTGGTGCCCCTTGCTGAGTGACTGTGCTGACGGCTGCAACACATGGAAGGGCTCTTACAGACCAGAGCTCAATTAAAGACCATTGCAGAGCCTGGGTGGTGCGGACGGGCAACACACTCGCTGCTTACCCAAAGTTTGCTGGGTTGAGTCCATCCAGAGGTGCGGCCTGACCATTTACTTGAAAACAATCAGCCGTTGACAGCCCTGTGAGCACAGTTCCACTGACACACGGGGGGTCACTGTGAGCTGGAATTGACCGCGCAGCGGCTGGTTCACGGAGCGCATTCCATGTGCCAGGAGCTATTGTGCAAATGGGTGAAGCAGGTGGGCTGCAGGGCCTAGAGAAGCAAGGCTCCGTGGGGAAGGACTTAGTCCAAGCGCAGGGCGGCAGGCTTGCTCTCAGCAGGGTACAGATTGGAACTGGAGGTTCCGGTCCAGTATCTGACGCCTCCGGGCCTCCATAAGGGCGCTTTCTGTGGCTGTTCAGAGCAGCCTGGTCTAACTCTGAAAGCGGAGGGGAGGATGTAACGATCCGGGCACGCTAGTCCCCTCGTCCACTGCTGGAGGGATTGTAAAGGGATGCTGGTGCCGTGGAAAGGCGCCTGGCAGTTCCTCAGGAAGCTGGAGAGACGGACTCCAGGCCCAGCGTCCCCCCACTTGCATTTTTACTGCAGCAGCCCCAGAACACTCAGACTTTCTGGTTCTCTGCCCACCTGCTGGGGACACCCAGGGCTGTGCGTAACGTCATCCCTGCCCTCCGCCTCTTTTCTGACGTGTTGGCACTGTCGGTTGTCTTTACTCAGCAGAGGGCGAGCTCTCTGGAAATGCAGACCGTGGCCTCCCTGGGGCAGGAGGGAGACACGTGTGACCCTGCACCCGGGACGACACTAGGTCCTGAGCAGATCGGACTCCTGCTTCGAGGGCTGCGTCGCTGGGCCGGAGGGATGGGTTGCACCTCCCCGCAGTCCTCGGGTTGGCCGCAGCCCACAGTACCCAGCACTGCTGTTCCGCTTGTCTGACCGCTGGCTGACCACGGCTCTCTTCCTCTCTCCTCCCGTAGCGATCACATCGTGGAGACAAACCCCGTTTTACAGCTGGACCCGGCCGTCCCGGGAGTGTACTCTGGAAACCCATACCCGTTTGGGATTGATCCGGTAATTGTGCCTTCTCGGGTTAGATATTTGTTATAAGGGCCCTGCTCAGCATGCATTCATTCATTCCACAAGCATCTATTGCAGAATGTCCAAATGGCGCAGGCAGACAGGCACTGAGCGATAAGTCAGGGACTGGGTCTGTCTGGTTCACTCATCTAAACGCTACGGGGAGGTCGGCAGGTCACTTCCCCCTGTGCACCGTTTAATGTCTACTTTATACATAGAAAACTAGTACTTTCGCTGACTTTCTCTCTGGATGCTTGTCATAAACTTACTGATACATTAAAAGCACATTGTTCACTTTAATAATGATAATCTTACACAACAATAACAACAAAAAATGTCTGGTTTGGAGATCTTTGGGTAGAGAGAAAGAAGGTGCCGGAACCCGCCACGCCAGCATGTTGCAGACTAATAACATGTATTTGCAGGATGTTGGGACGCAGAGCTGGCTTCTGGTAAAGCCCCTCCGGGACCCTCCACGTGGTTCCCAGTCGGCTGCCTTCTTCTCCACCACAAACACCACTGGTGGTTCATAGTCACCCAGGGTCCTGGTTGCCCAGTAAATACACGTGTTAAATAAGCCATTTAGCACCCTAATTAAGTCCCTTTCTTTGGGATTTCCTTGTTGTGAGTAATATAGCTCCCTTTTTCTTAGAAAAGCGTAAATTTGCTTTATTTCATGGCATAGCATTGATAAAAGTTTGAAGAGAAGATTGTGTCATCTGTTTGTTTTTGCATGGCCTTTCCCTTAGAAAACGTCATTAAGCCGTTTAGGGACTCAGGGAGTTTATGCTTATTTGCTTCGTCCTGTGGACATGTTTAAATAGCTGCTCAGTCAGCTGGATCCAAGCCAAGCCAAACAAAAGTGCTTTTCCTCCAGCAGCCGGCATAGCTGGGGTTGGGTTCACACCATTCGTGGCGGCCGTGTGCATCACCACCAGGAGGCAGCCGCGCGCTCCAGATGAGCCCACCAAGATTGCTTCTGAGCTCTCTGCGGGAGAGACTTCAGCTGTGGACGCTGATGGTTGAGTAAACAGTAAACGAGCCGTGGGAGTTGGCCTGACTCACGGACACTCTGTGTGTGTCGGAGTAGAACTGGCTGGTGTTTTGCAGGTAGATCACTGTCTTTCTTCCCAGGTGGATTCGAACTGCCCGCCTTTTGGTTAGCGACCAGACCCTTCACCATTTGCAGGGGCTCTGGATAGACAGTCCTGGCTCTAAAATGGGTTCCTGGCCTCTTCCACGCTGTAGGTCTTCTCCTCTCGGTTTCCCAGGGTCCTCCCTCGGCCTTCCCCCCTGGTCTCTCATTAAACAGCAAGATCTCCCTGGATTTGTTTACATTGCCACCCAAGGGTGTTTATATTCTAAGTTTTATCTGGAGAGGTCATGCCCTTAAAAGGAGATTTTTAAGTTACAAAGTGCTGCAAACAAACACAGTTAGACTGGGGGGCAAAGGAATTTCATGATTAGGAAGCAGGTGGGGGCAGGAGTGGAGAGGGGTCCAGGGGTGGTTTATAGTCCGAGTGACCTTTGGTTCTCATAGAGTCTGCCCCCCTCTCTCTCACGCACAAACCCACTGGCGGTGAGTCGATTCTGACTCATAGAGACCCTATAGCACAGAATAGAACTGCCCCATAGGGTTCCCAAAGCTGTAATCATCATGGAAACAGACTGCCACTTCTTTTTACCGCAGAGCCACTGGTGGGTTTGAACTGCCAACCTTTTGGTTAGCAGCCAAGTGCTTTAACCACTGCGCCACCAGGGCTCCTGTCCCTCACAGCCCACCTATGCTCAGTAACCCTGTCTGCCCCAGTCTGCTCCCTGTAGACGCCTTCTCTGCGTGTATCAGCATTCACATGACATAGGAATGAGACGTTTAATTTTTATATAATATACATTTCTCAGGTGTGATTTGTTGACTTAAACTCAGCATCTCATTATGACTCCTAGTACAATATTTGCCCTTCACTCCAGCTGGGACTTCTCATGGTGCTTTCTGAATATTTTGTGCTTGATTGAGCACATACTGGGTGATTTAAACAACAGAGCTGTGCTCTCTCCCAGTTCTAGAGGACAGAGGGTCAGGGTCAGGGTGTCCAGGGGCAAGAGCCTTCCTGGTCCCTCCCAGCTTCTGGTAGCCCAGGCGCTCCTTGGCTTGCAGCTGGGGCACAATCATGTCTGTTCCCCCATCTTCACGCGGCCATTTTCCCTGTGTCTCTGCGTCTTGTGTGTCTTCTGTTCTCAGAAGGACACCAGCCACATTGGATGAGAGCACACCCCACTCCAGTATGACTTCATCTTAATAATGACTTCTTTAGGAGCTCTGGTAGCATAGTGCCTAAAGCACTTGACTACTAACCGGAAGGCCGGTGGTTCAAACCCACCAGCCACTCCTCAGAAGGAAGATGGGGCAATCTACTTCTGTAGTGATACTGCCTCGGAAACCCAAGGAGGGGTCGCTATGAGTCGGGGCCGACTCGAGGGCACGTAACAACAACAATGACTGCTTTAAACTAGGCCACGTACACAGGGGCCAGGGCTTAGGACTTGAGCAGAGCTTTTCTGGGGACACCAATCAACCCACAGCAGATGCCGGGGCAGGTGGAGAGAGGACAGAGGAGCCCTCTGGTGTTGGGCAGCTCTCACTGCCCGCCCCCATGTTCCCAGCAGTCTCCGTAGTGGCTGCCCGGCTGGCAGTAGCTCAGGACGGTAAGGAGAGACTCAGCCAGCGGGCCACAGTTCCCAGCCTTGGGCGTGTGTCCTGTAGGATTCTTAGATTCAGAATAAATAAATACATTCCCAGGTTGTCATGCATAAATTCATTTAGTTGATTGCAGGGAAGTCACGGAAGAGACACACAAGTGAGACCTCAAGGCACTCGTCTGGCACTGGGGAGTCGGAATGGACCATTACAATGTTGGTTTAGTAGTTACAGTCCAAATCCTTAGGTGTCAAGCTTTTACCTTCAATGTGTGGTCTCAGGAAGGAAGACTTGACCACCCCTCAGACTCTGAAGAGGTCCCCATAACTAGTTAGGATCCGAGGTCGAGGGACGTGAGCAGGGTCTGAGTAGTCTTGCAGTGTTCAGAGACAGCGAGACAAATATTTTTCCCACTGTCTTCTCCAAAAGGGAGCAGAAATTGAGGATTTACATACAATTTCCTTATCTTGACATCACAGAGAAAGCTTAGGTGCTGTCATATTCAACTGTAATTGGTATGTTTTATGGCTAATGACATATTTCTAGACATTTAATTAATTAAGAATTATGGGACTTGTTTAGTGACATTTATGTTTCCAGGCCAATTTACAGAGATTTGATTAGAAATTAAAGGGTTGTTATATATTTATGTCCTTGTTTATGGCATATTTCACACACCTCTGTGATCTGCTTCCAAAGTTAGAATAACTTCCTAATGACTGATGTTTACAGTTTCTGATGACTTACAGTTGCTGGTTAGTGAGCGTCATAGGTATCCATGTTTCTGTTTTTAAGTTTAGAAATTCTCTGTGTCTAACTTCACATTTGAAGTGACTTACACCTGGGGCTTTAAAATCAGAAAGGATTACAACCAGAGGCTTATAGCAACACACATGACAATGTCAGTGACGTAAAAGGCTGGGTGACTTGAGATCATCACAGCAACCATACGTAACAGTGTGTGTGTGGTGTCTGTGAGCCTGTGATGGGTGGTTTTCTGCATGTGTGGATGGTTTGTGTATGTATGTGATGTGTGTGTGTGTGGTATGTGTGTGGTGTGTCTGAGTGTGTGATGTATGTATTTATGTGGGGATGGCTTGTGTATGTGTGTAGTATGTCTGTGTGTGGTGCGAGTGTGATGTGTGTATGGTATGTGTGTGGTGTGTCTGTGTGTGATTTGAGTGTGATGTGTGTGGTGTGTGTGCACGTGTGATGTGCATATTTCTGTATGTGTGTAGTGTATGTGTAAGCACGTGATACATGTATTTCTGTATGTGTGGATGGTTTGTGTATGTGTGTGGTGTGTCTGTTGTGAGAGTGTGATGTGTGTGTGCAGAGGCAAGCTGACTGTGTATTGAGATTGTAGGCAGAGGGCTGTTTGCCCCTCAACAGAAGTTTGGAAGAACAAGTGGTTTTCAGAGGAATGGTGAGGAGATGACTGTGGTCATGTTGCCTTTGAGGATCAGAGCAAACCCCTGACACGTTTGCAGGTTTGGGGGCAGGCAGTTGACGTACCCGAAGAGGAAGAGAGCTCGGGCCAGGTGAGGTAGGAGCGGACCTCTGTGGAGAAGAGGAAAGTCTGCGACGTGGTCACCAACCAGGCGAGGCCCTGGTCAGCTCCTGCCCCCACCGATGTGTCTGGGTGTCTGTATCATTTGGGATGGGTGGGCACACATGTCCCCCCTCTGGCAGCGCCATTTAAACAGGGACACACAGATGGAGGGACCGTGACCCACTCGGCACTCTCAGGAGACCCTGTCCACAGAGCAGCTTCCTGCAAAGTGCCCAGTCAGGTCCTCTAACAGGACCAAAAAAACCCACGAAAAACCAAAGTCACTGCTGTTGAGTTGGTTTCAGCTCATAGTCACCCCTCCTTGGGTTTCCGAGATGATATCACTAGGGAAGTAGATTGCCCAATCTTCCTTCCGAGGAGTGGCTGGTGGTTTGAACCTCCAGCCTTCTGGTTAGCAACCAAATGCCTTAGGCACTACGCCATCAGAGCTCCCTTCTAATGGAGGTCCCATTGAAATCTGGAGTAGAGGTGGTATTTTAAAGAAGGGATTGGATGAATTATTGGGTTGAAGATCTACAGGCCATTAATAAGGGAAATGAGCAGTCTGAAATCTCACTGTACCTTTCAGGAACGTCCCTTTGTTTACAATTGGGAAGAAAGCTGTAGGCTTTTCCCGTTTCCTTCCAGGTCCTTGATATTTCCCTGGAATGGGAATGGCTCCTGCTCCTTCAGGAATGACTGTTTCTTTCACTCAACTTTTTGGTGAAAATTCATAAAGTGAGAAATGGTGCTGATGGTTCTGACATTGTGTCATTAAATGTCACTTTTTGGGGGCATGGTCCTTTCCCATTTCTGAGCCTGCATGGCAGGCTGAACTAGACTAACACTGAAAATGTCGTGGGTGCCACGGCTGCCTCGGAAACGGACCTGTGGCCTCAGGCCCACCACAGCTCCTGAACTCGGGTCTCGTGTGTGCTCATGTTTCTCACCCAGATCTGGAACCTTGCCTCGAACAAGCTGACCTTCTTGAACTCCTACAAAATGAAGATGTCAGTCATCCTGGGGATTGTCCAGATGGTGTTTGGGGTGATCCTCAGCCTCTTCAACCACATGTAAGTTTCTCCAGTCCCTTTCTGTGTGCCGGACCAACCCAAGGATGAGCTCTTACAGGGCCGCCCTGTGCACCTGCGTCCCTCACAAGAAGGAAGAGCCTCCCTCCTGAGAACCCTTCCTTAGGGCCTCGGTTTGCACCAGGACAAGCAGGTTTGTTGGAAACAGTGACTCTGTTTCTTCTAAGGCGAAGTCCCTCGAAGGCAAATACACCACTTGACCTGGAAACACTGGTTCAGGTTGTGTCCTTCTGGCCTGAAAGACTTGGGTTGGTCGGTATCCATCCACCGGTGGGCACATGGGGCGTGGGTGGCTAATGTGCCCTCTGTTCCTGAATCCTGTTTGGTGTCATTTCTTCCACTTGGCTGTGTCCTCTCTCACATCTTTGGTTGCTAATGTTGACATGTCTACGCCCTTCTTTCCTTCTCTCAAGATCTATCACTGCTCTCCAATGATGGTACTTCTCAAACTTACTTACACTGAGGCTACACAAATTTGAAAATAGCTCCAAGGGGGCTCATTTAGAAGCACCTGTGTGGGCAAGCTGGCTGACTTTGTAAGTGCTGCTGAAAGCCCACCCACCATGTTGGTTCAGAGTGAGTGGGGCAGCATGGTCCACAGGAATGATACAGGGTGTGGAGCCAGAAGTTCAAGGCCCGGTTCCAACTCATGCATCTCCAGGCTTGTTGTCTTCTGTAAGATGGGGATTCAGTAGTCAGAGCAGGTTGGGTTATGACACAGTAACAAACAGCCCCCAAAGCCCGGGGGTGACCGAGGTGCATCATGGACCCCCTGGGGCCTTGCTCCTGTCCCCCTTACCCAGGGCCCAGGCTGTGGGCAGCCACCCCCTGGAAGAGTGCCACTTGCCATGGCAGAAGGAAAAACTTTTTTTTTTTTTTCATTTTTAAAAATTGTGGAAAAAATACCTTTAACGAAGTGTTGACCATTTCAACATGTAGAGTTCAGTGTCATTAATTATGTCTGTCATGTCGCTTAGCCAGCACCCTTATCCAGTCCCCAAAATGCATCACCTGTAACTGAAGTTCAGAGAAAGCCAAAAACAGACCCACTCTCATTGAGTCGATTCTGACTCACAGCGCCCCTAGAGGACAGAGT